CCATGCATTGTCTCAGTCCAGAAGCGAACGTAACAGGATGATTGCCACTCATGGCTCTCTTCTGGACAGCAACAACAGTGATGCTAAGGATTGGGGGAGGCAGAGAAAGCAAAAGTTCCAGGTTTCTTTCACCATAAGCATGCCTGCCTCTAACACAGCTGGAACTGGATGCAAACTGCAGTGTTGTTTCTGCAACACTAAAACGAGGACATTTCTTTCAACACATATCCTGCCGTAGGTGTCCAGGTCTCTGTGCAATTAGGCTGTTGTAATACACAGTATGTGAGGCTGCATCTCAAAATCAGTCAGGAAAACTAGCACGGATCCCTGTGACTGCATCAGGGGCTGCAGGGATCCAGTGCTTTACTGAATTTGAGCACAGGCATAACAAGTTTTAAAAGTGACCAGAGGATTCCCAGCATAATGAGTTGCATTAATTCCATTAGCTTGGCTCTTTCAGCACACCTGGGTTTAATTAGACACCTTGATTGGTATGGCTGAACTCGTTAGCTTCCACTGATTGACAAATAGCAAGAGGAAGCAAACCTGCACTGAAAGTGGTTCCTGGATAAAAGGGGCAGTGGCAGAACAAGTGGGGTTTCTTGAGAGATCTGGAGTGAAGGGGCAGTTGTGGAGGAAGTGGCTGCTGTCTGTTGTCACAGAAGATTTGATTTATGTAAGCTCCTTTTGTTTGTTTGTGTGTAGCTAGTGAGAAGCTTTAGAGTTTCTATTGTAGTTTGCTTTCAACTTTGCAGTACAGCCATCAAGTTTTGTGTTAACCTTGTAATTTTGGTAGATTATGCTCTCTGTGTGTGGTTCTGCTGCAGAAAGCAGCTATGGTATCTAATGAGTTGCCTTGAGAAAAAACTTATCCTCTAATCCTTGAATGAATGAACTTCTGTCTGGAGGGAATAATCCGCTCAAAATTTTTTGTTAGTTATGAGAAGCAATAATGTGAAAATGTAACATATCTCTTATACTACTAAGCCTTTAAGTATGTGATATGAATTTGTTTTTATTTTAATTGAAACTGTTTCATTAGGGTCTAGTGTAAGTAGAGGGCAGACCCACTTCTGGCTTGTCTCTGCTGTAACTTGACAAATCTTGTGCTGTTTGGGGAGGGGTTAGTGTTATGGTGTATAACATCTCTAATAAGAGTGTAGTTACAAGAAAATGTAACAAGCAACTTCTGACTTGAAGGTCATGGTGGATTATAGATTATTCTCTTACTTAAGATGATTAATTTACTTAATTAGTTAATCATCCTTTCTTCCTTGAAGTGAAATAACTATATTAATAACTTTCTTATAATTCTTGCTGTTTCTCAGGTAAGCAGATGTGTAAAATACACATATAAAATTGTAGTGCGATCAAGGTTATTGCTGCCAGAAATGCCTGGTAGCTCTGTCTCCTTAACCTGAGTCATATATTAAAGCATGCTGTATGCATTTTTTCCTTTAAAAAAAAAAAAAGGCAGCTTAAAGCATCTTGGATTGCAGACTTGAGAATGAAGAAACCAAATGCTTATGAAAACCTGCAATATTGAGCGAGTTGTCTATGGGATCTGTAGCAGTGCAGAGGCTGAACCTGTCTCCTGCTCACCTGCTTGGACCTCTCCTCTTGAGACAAACAAGGTTTTCCAGGTCAAATGTGTAACAAAGGAGTAGAGAGGATTCTCTGTTGTGCAGATGTAAACGAAGTTACCTTTTGGGGCTACAGCGTTAAGCATGTGTCTTCTGGGGGTTCCTCCATTAAGGGAAGGTTAAGCTGTCCTAGCCTTGCTTGCCTAGCTGATGGCTGTGACTGGTGAGAAAGCTGATTACGTCTAAGACATGGAGACCGTGGCAGCTTGCTGCTTTCCCTCTATACCTTCTCCATTGGGGTCTGTTGTGCTGGAAGGGCTTGCAGCCCAGCTTTAGATATACTGGCTTAAGTAAAACAACTTCCTTCACTGGCTGTGGGGGCATGGCAGCAGTTAATGTATGGGTCTCCTCAGCTTGAGGTCTGTGAAGCGATGAGAGGAACGTCCAGCTCTGCCTTTCCCTGTTTATCTAGCTCCTGTGTCTGTTAGGGAAGTTGCCAAACTAAACTGGTCAAATAATGTAGCGGCTTGACTAAAATAGTGACTCTGTGCCAAGCTGGGGAGGCAATTCTGCCCTTGGAAGCTTTTGCCAATTAGAAGGATTTTAAGTCTCCTAAGGAGATGCCTGGAGTTGAAGAGTCTGGTCTGTGGTCCTTCCTCAAACCAGAGGGGTGCCTAGAGGGTGATTCCAGGTCACGAAGGCTCTGACTAAGGTATCAATTGCATAATTTGATTAAAACGTGCTCACATTGAAAACATCTCTTCGGTAACTTTTAGTGGCTTTAGACATGGTCTGCTGGTCATCTGTTGTTTCACCTTGTGTTTCCTGATTCAAAACTACATCAATATACTGCTTAATTACCAAACACTATGGTGGGCTTCAAAACTGGATTAAAGCATACAAATAAATCTGACCTGACTTCAAAATGGTTCATGTCAATCTCTTTTAAAGAGAAGCTAGGAAGGGAAACTGATCTTTCTTCTGGCTCTGACAACTGATTGCCTCCTTTGTTAGCTGAACTCATGGGGGTGAGCCTTTAGGTAGGACCCTTAGCTGCATTCATGTGTGTGCCACTCTTGGGAAATCAAGTGGACTTAATGAAATTCAGTATTTTCCCCAAAAGTACTACCTCTGTGACCTGGCCCTTCTCTGTTAGAATATAGTTTGCTACTTATCAGAGGTGCAGCAGCATCTGTGTGGCCACCACTTGTGGTGAGTAGTACTGCCTTCCCTCTGTAGGAAGGATTAAAGATTGACTTCCTCATGCTTTTAGGTTATGTAAATGCACCCTGCCTACATTCTCTCCCTAATGTAAATTTTAAAAAGACATTTCTCTATTAACTCTCCCTTTCTTTCACCACTGGTCTGGGGTCTTTTGTATGTGTAGGGTTTTGTTTATTTTAAACTTGAACTACTTATTTAGCCTATGTGCACGCTCCCCTTTGTCCAGCTTGGCTGTGCATCTGAACACGCTCCCTTCGAAGCAAAAATTGAGTTCTCTAACTGCTGCTCATGCAGAAGGCCTGACTTTCTTTAAAATGTTCAGTAAAATGACATAATACAAATGCAGTGTAACACCTCCACTACCTTGAAGAGAAGTGAATGCTGCTTTTTCTGTCCTTTAGTACTAGGGTTGCAGAGGGGGTAGTTTTAGTATCGATCCACAAATTTATTTAGATCCCAGGGTCCCACTT